GGGGAGTTGGTACATATATATAACATATATCGATTTTTTCATTTCCTTCTACTTCATTCTCTCCTCCATTGATCTCTTGCTCCCCTTCCCTTTTTCAAAAGATTTATCTCCTTGTTTTATATTATCTTTCATTTTTCTCTAATTAATTTATATATTGGTTTCTCATATAAGATAACTCATTAAAGCTAGTGTGCCTGATTTATTTCATTTAATATTATGGTCTCAAGGTACATTCAATTTCTTACAGATTTAAATATATTTTTCTTTATGGACAAGTAGCACTCCGTTGTGTGTAAAATCATTTTCTGTACCCATTCATCTGTTGTTACATATATAGGCCACTTCCAAGGTTCAGTCATGAATTGTGTTACTACAAACAGGGACATGTATGTCTCATCATAATATGTCTTTAATTCTTTTTAACTTACACAATTGGTGACAAAGAAGTCTGGAAATAATTCAGGCTAAAGACTACTACCAGTACCAAAAAAAAACTTTAACAGTGTAGATACCTTGTTTGAGTACTTGCCAGACAATCTCCACCACATTAAAAGCTTTCTGCAATCACATATATAGAAGACAAATTGTATGTTGGCATCTATTTCTAAGTTTTTCAGTGTTTTCTCCTTGAGTTCCTTTGGATACCATGTGACTAAACAATATGGAATTTCCCTTTGTCAAGAATTAGATAGTTGTATCAGTACTGACTCATATCTGTGTCCTCCACTTTCTTCCACTCATTCATGTGACTGTTCTTATGATGGTACCACACTTTGTTTTTGTTATTCTGACTTTGTGGTGTATTTTGAAATCAAATATTGTGTCACCTCCAGCAATTATTATTTTTACTCAGATTTACTTTGACTAGTGTAATGCTTTTGTGCTTCACTACGGGTTAATTTTGTAGTTGTGTGAAGAATGTTACTGACAGTTTGATGGGGATTAAATTGAAACTGGAAATTCTTTAATTATGTGATCTTTGGAATATTAGCCACAAAGCATGTCAGGTTGAAATTTTCACTTAAAATATAGAGTAACTAAGATACAATGGTTGAATTTATGTATGCAGAAAGATGAGTTGAGTCTAAAATGTAAGGTGGAGAGAACCAAATATTTGGATACTGGATCATTTGGCTAATTATATGTTGTTATTCAATGAATCATCAACCTTTAATGCAATTTACACCATTTCAATAATGTATCTGATATATTTTTATTTTACTATTAATCCTTTGAGTTTCTAGGTATAACTTTAAACACAAATATTTTAATGTATCCAACAATGCTATTAATAAACAAAATTATAACTTCATTATTGACTATTTGTTCTATTATGCAAAAAGTATTCCTTGTGCACTTTTCTCCTATCCTGAAATATACAGCACATTATTAATGCCCAAGTCTATGCAATGGAATATCAGAACTTATTGTTTCTATCAAGCTGATGCATAGTGCCAGTGTTCCATATCTGTTAAAATGCACTTCATGGCAAACATATTATACATTTGTGGTAAAGCTCCATAAGCTATTGAAAAGAATGTATATTCTCCAGAAGTACATAAAATATTTGGTAGATGTCTGTTAATTCTAGTTTAATTTGTAGTAACTATAGTTTAATTTATTTTTAATCTTCATTGTCTGTGTATGTATTAAAATTATATACTCACATTCTATTGGGACCTATCTGATTCCTTACATTGATTAGTGATTGATGTATTGAATGTAATGTACTCATTTTCCATACAAACATAACTCACAATAGTTTTATGTTCTTGGTAGGTTGTTATCTTCACCAACATGAAGTAAATCACTTGGTCTCTTCTAATTTTAGCTTAAAATTTGCTTTTTCTGACATGAGTACAGTTCTGCTTGCTTTTGGTTTGATTTGCATTAAAATGTCATTTGGTATGCATCCACTTTTAGTCCATATTATGTCTTTGATAATAAAGTATGTTGCTTGTAGCTATACAAGAGTTCTTTTGTAAATTTAATTCTGCCAATCTGTGTCTTTTAACTGGAGAATTAGGATAATTTAAATGAAGGTTATTATTGGAGAATGTATACTAGTTCTCTGTCATTTTCTTTTTTATCATACTTTTTTTCTGCTTCTCATTTTCTTCTCTACTATTGCTCTGCATATATAGGATTCTTTTAGCTATTTTCTGAAGTACTAGTTTAGTGGCTATCTATTCCTTTCATTTATGCTCACTTTGGGAAACCTTTATTTATCTTTTAATTCTGAAGAATAGTTTTGCTGGGCACAGTAATCTAAGTTGGCAGTTATTTTCTTTTAGGGTTTCAAATGCATTGTTCCATTCCCTTCTATTTTTCATTGTTTCTGCTAAAAAATCAGAAGCTATTCAGATGGGGCTTGTCTTTATAAGTGACCTGATATTTCTCTGGAAGCTTTTAATATTCTTTCCTTGCTCTGTATTTTTGGCATTTTAAATATAATATGATGTGAGGGGTTCTTTTTTGGTTACAATTCGAAATGCCTTCTGTACATGGATATCCATATCTTTCTGAAGATACATGTTTATTTTACCCTATTATTTCAGTGAATATATACTTATTCTATAGCTCAGTACTCTCTTCTGAATGAAAAATATCTGATTTAGGTTTTTTACATCTTACCAGAGTTCATGAACATTTGTCCACATTTTTAAAGTTTTGCTTTTTTAGTATCCAAATGGCATAATTCACCAAGCTTGTCCTTGAGCCCTGAATTTGTCTCTTCTGGTTGACTAAGTTTCTTGGTGAAGCTTTCCAGTGAATTATTTTTGCTTTATTTCCAATAATATTTTCTATCCATTCAGCTGTTTATTTGTGCTCTCTTTGAAATCATTGATCATTTTATTAAAAATCAATGTTTTGAATTTGTTGCCTAACACTTTATCAACTTAGATATATTTGGATTTATTTATCAAAGTGATAGGCCTTGGGTAGAGTAATTTCTTTTGTTTCTTTGTTGCTATTTGTGAATCAGTTTGAATGAATATCTGTTTCACTTTTAATTGAAGGACTCCTTAGGGAACAGAATCTTCTGAGGGTTTACTACCAGTCAAGTTCGAAGAGAAGAAAATCAACTGTAGTGAGAAAAATCATATATGGAAATACCAGAAAAAACAAATAAATCACTATTCCACCAGTATAAATAGAAAATAAGAGGGAAATTAACATTTAGGAAATTAAGAAGTTAAAATTAACACAAGTAAAAATATAGACATATATCTCTTGCCTTGTACTAAAACCAAATGAGAATAGATCAAATGCTTAGATATAAACACAGAAACATAAAATCTGCTGGAAGATAAAACAGGTAAAACTTTGGAAATATAACATAAACAAGAACTTTCTGAATGGAACTTTACATGCACAAGAATAATACCAAATATTAACAAGGAGATTATTAAAATGTTCTGTACAGGAAAGGAGAAAGCTAAAGGATGAAACAACTTACAGAATGAGGAAAATTTCACCAACTACTGAGCGCATAGAGAGAATGGAACAAGAACAACAACAACAAAAAGACACATGAAAATAAAAGGGCATATTAAAATGGAAAATTGAAATGAATAGACACTTCTCAAAGTACGAATGGCCAATAAGTACATTAACAATGTTCAACGTCTATGGCCATTAGAAAAATACAAATCAGAACAACACTAATATTTCATTTTACTCCAATATAAATAGCTATTTTCAAGAGCACAATGAAAAATAAATCCTGGCAAGGAATACAAGGAAAACGGAAATCTTCCACATCGTAGGTAGGACTGAAAACTAGTACAATGGAAATATGCGTAAAAAATCCTTACCAAGTTATAAATAGAAAGACCATTTGAACTACCTATATATCCTCGAAGTAACTCTTTGTTTCAGAAAGAGTTACTGCTGGTATCATATTACAGGGATACATCCATATTCACGTTTAGAGTAGCACAATTCATAATTGTAAAATTTTAAAAATATGATCATAAAGAAGGATAAATTTGACTCAATTTTAAGAAAACTGATGTAATGGCCAGGGAAGTAAATCAGGCACAGACAGTTAATTGTTTCTTGGTTTCTCTTATTGAAAGAGAAACAAAATATTAATAATTTGAAGAACAAAATAAAAGACAAATGTTTAAAAATTGAAATGTAGACTTTGTGAAGATAGGAAGCAGATCTGGTAAAGAGAGAGGAGGGGAGCACTGGGATAGAGAAAGTAAAATGATTAAGGTGTGTTATGCATATGGGCCAATATCTTAAGATGCTAATAACTTTTATGTATTTCCAGTATGTGCAGATAAGATGTAAGAATAAATAAAAGTGTAATGATAATAATCTAATGGCAACAAAATGGAAAGGGATGGAAATAGATAAAAGAGAAGACTTTATCAATTTTTTAAAGAATAAAAGAAAAGAACAAGGATACAAAAATTCAATTAAAATTTAAAAATAGGTAAATAAAATTGGATCAAAATACTATAACAATAAAAGCAAATAAAAATTAAGAAAATGTACAATTAGTCCAAACTATTACTTGAAACCTTTATGCTTGAATTCTTGAAGGTGATTTCCAACATCTGAAATATTGACATCACCTGGTTTTAAGAGATAAAGTGAGTCATATTCAGGATGCATTGTATTTCTTTCCACTCTAAGATGACAGCCTGGTGCATTATGAATGGTGAGACCTGCTTCACCTTTCCTATAATCAGGGCTGGCTAATAGTATGTTGTCTGCTAAGGATTATTACCATGTCACAGATTTTTAATTGTTATTTCCTTTAGTGAACTCATGGCCACTGCTGGCATTGATATTCAACATTTGGTCTTAGTACAAGGCAAGAGATATATATTTATATTTTTACTTGTGTTAATTTTAACTTCTTAATTTCCTCATTGTTAATTTCACTCTTATTTTCTATTTATACTGAGTAAAACATGGCAAGAAACTTGTCTAAACATCTCATGTTTAATGACCACATACAAAGAAAGATGCAAACCCAAAGAAGTGTACCACAACTATGATATGGGCAGTGTAAGTGGACGATTCCTTGGATGAACACAGTTTTAGAGCTTTGGAAGGCAGTGACAAAAATATATGTGTATGATATTGACAGTATAATTAAGCAGGTTTACAGCTACAACTTCAAAGTCAAAGTTGAGTAAAACTTTTAACTTACATGAGTCCATGCAGGCCAGCTTAATTACCAGTGGTCTATCACAACAGAAGCCATCTACTTCCCTGGTGACACAGAAAGGCAATTCACAATAACAATAATTTGACTCATGGCATGCAGAAAATGAACCGTCCATGCAGTGACAACTAACCCAATGCATCTTCTCAGGCTTATGATGGTGGAATAGTGGCGTGGTGTGCAAAAGGCCACATAGCAATCATAGGCATTACTACCAGAAGAACCATCTCAAGACCTGCAATGAAATGGGAAAAAAAGATCTGAGACATGAACCCTCCAATAGATATAGTCTTTTTTTCTTGAGAAAATCTGTGATCACCTTTGGAGTAGTTAGAGGAAAGCAATATATCAACAAAAGACAAGTTGGCCAACAAAAATACATGAGGGAGTGCAGATGAGGTCAGTGATGACTAAGACCATGTTAAGAATATTTCCAGATAAAGCATGAAAAATATCAAGAAGAGTAGGACGTACACATTCCATGAGTGTGTAAGTGGCAGCAGCACAAATTCTGACACAGTAGACTGATTTCCCTTCATCCATTTTATTCCGTTTGTCATCTGGATTGACTTAAAAAGAGAAAAAAATTTAATTAGTAGCATTAGAAAGTGCATTTAGTTTTTAGAGTTTGATATTCTCATTCAAATTTAACATCTAGATATAGGAATATAAATGTAACTATGAAGAGAAATATTGACCAATTATGTATTGCTTTATGCTCCAAAGAGAAAGTAAATGTTTAAATCTGCTTTTAAGAAGCAGAATTTAAGATGAGACTTTCAAGAAACAGAAAATAAATTGGATTTATTTGATGTGGAAGTATTCAGTGATTAGTCTTATGAGAAAGAGTGAAAAACAAAAGACAGCAGGATGAAAACTTAAGCAGTGATTGTAATGTCACCTGAAGTCTAGCTCCCATCCACAGGTTCAGTAAAAAGAATCTGAGTGGGGCTCAACTAACCATCACTACACTACATAAAAATATTAACTCAGATCTTTAGGAAGGGGAATATGAACTAATATTGGAATTCAAAACAATTAATGTGATATAATTTTGCAATTTGTATTAAAATCATTCAAATCTAATGACCTCTTTCTATAAGACATCATAAAACTAACTTTTTAGCCCAATCCCCTAACATATATATCAGGAGAATATTTAGGAAAGTAGTTATATTAAAATCCACATAGTAAATTACCTGGAATCATACCTTGATTTTAAAACAGTAATATAATTTTTTACTAATCAAAACCTAGGATATTACAGAAATCATTATCAAACTCAATGGAAAAAATAGTAAACATGTACAAATTTAAAAAGTACAGATAAATAACCTACAGTTGAAGGCAACAAATTTATATTGACTTGAGTTCTGAATAAAACTCCATATAACTTTTTACAATAAAAATATTTACATTCAATTATACAAATACATACTTGTATATACCTAAAATTTAAGATGTTGCTATCTCCTGACATACAAGAATATAAACTTTATTTTCTGATCTACTTACCTAATTATTGTCAGCCTAAAAGGGGAGTAAGTTATATTCATGTGCAAGTAAAGTACACCTTTGAATGTCTGTATTTAATAAGGTAAAAATTTCAGTGATCACAGTTTTTTAGATGTAATAATGACGTTGTTTTAAATTATTTGTATGTAAAATCAAAATTATTCTCAGGATGAATGGTAGAAAAGTAAATGCCTATTATTTTTTCTTTTAACATTCCTCTCAGCAGTATTTCAGATTCTTTATGTTACATGTTCTTGTGTGCTCTTAAATTGCCAAGGACACTAGGTTAACAATAAGAACTCTTACCTTATCGTATACATTGTTTTCTATTTTCTTTATACAAGAACTCAGAATCATAAATTATAAGTGGAATGGGAAAAAATTCTTCTGAAGAAATGAGTTATCACATGTTTGTTTTGGAAAAGAATCTTAACAGTCTTACCACTTTTTTAAATAAATGTTTCATAAGGAGAGAGATTTGCTTAACTCTTAGGAATATTTCTTGAAATTATCCTCTATAAATTCATGAAAAATGTGGTATTCTGAGCTGTTTCTTAAAAATATTTTTCTTTTTAATAGAAACTCTCACATGAGACAAGGAAGATAGATAACAGAAAACAGGAGTCTAACTTTATCTGAGGGAGAAATTTCCTAAAAGATGAATATGTACATTTCCAAGGAGAGATTCATTAGAAGAAACCCTGCCTTTTTTATTAATTTTAATGTTACTAATATTTGATATTATTAGTGGACTAATGGTATTATTCTTTTATTCAATATTTACATGAATAAGTGGAATAACCAAAGGCTAATTGGCTAAGCATCACTCGAAATCTTACTCTAATACTTACTGTCCTAATCTTCAGGTAAACCTATCTCTATTCTCTTTTCTTCATCAATAAAAAAGAAGTCATTGTTTTAACAGATGTGCTCTGAAGAGAAGCTACAACACACAAAACACCTAAGCTCTTTAAATCTTCAGTGAATGTTAATTCATAATATGTCACAATTCTATTTAAATAGATCATTAAGCAAGTGAACTTGCGAAGCTCATTGACATTTTTATTGCTCAGTAGAATGCTTTTTAAAAGCAAAGTGTATACAATAAACTTTCTCTAAAATAGCTGCTACTTACATTATCTCTAAATTAATACATGCTCCCAGGAATGAAATGATGCTTTTACCCTTTCCATTACCTTTCCTAGGGACATTAATGATAGCTTAAGAAGTCTCACAATGGAAAATAGGATATTCTATTATAGCACTATTTGACTCTTACCAGTAACAGAAGGAAAATGCTCATAATAGTGATAACAAAATTTAGGGAAAATAGACAAAGTTTATTGCTTTTTTAGAAATATGAGAATGTTACAATTTTGTGTGTATGCATATGATGTTCCTCAATATATTTTTCTATAATTTTATCTTTAAAATCCTATGAGATACATTACAAAATAAGAAGATTGGATCATAGAAGTTAATACTGTGGGCTGTGTGAGGTAAACACTAGTGTGATGCACTGGAGGAAAACTCCCAAGATCCTGTGGCTAGTGTGTGATGCCTTCCGTTTTCTTGAGGGTCTCTGGGTTTTTGTTTTGTTTTGTTGTTTGTTTGTTTTTGGTAAGGATACTTTTCAACTGGGCAGTAAGCTTCACTACTTCCTTCTCCTTGTCAGAAGTTTTCATCCATGCTGCCTTACAATCATCACTGAGGTAGTGGAATTTGAAGATGGGTTCACTGTTGTAAAGTTACAAAAATTCAAGTAATAAAAAGAATAAAGTAGAGAAAGTGTGTGAGTTGTTTTCTGAAAATATTGGAAGTTGCTTCATTCTCATCTCTAATCATAGTGAGTATGCATGAAAGAGAATCATAGAGATATTTTTAGTAATTCTTTTATAGAAAGGAAAAAGATAGTAGAGATGGCCAAGCATGGTGGTGCATGCCTGTAATTCCAGCACTTGCAAGGCTGAGGAAGAAGTTCAAAGCCAGTGTGGGCTACAAATTGAGTTCAAAAACAACCTGAATTGTATAATGAAACTCTGTCTTGAAAAACAGAAAATAAAAATAAAAAAGATAGATAAGATGACTTACTAGACACATTTGTTTCTGTTAAATCAGATTCTCTCTTTATTCTTCTCTTCTGATGTATGGTTGGGATGCCATCTGTGTTGGGAGGAGGTGGTATCTGTGGAAGTGCTTTCCTTCAGTCTGACATATATTTGCCATGTGAAATAATCTTTTGGGTTTCATTTCCTTGTTCTTTTCAACTAAATGGAACAAAAGAGTACATGCAAATAATTTTCCTTGGATCTTGGGAACATCTTTATTATTAACTGTCTTAGTTACTTTTTACTCATCACTGAAACAAAATGCCTGATGCCCAAAGTTGGGAAAGGAAGTTTATTTCTTAGAGTTTTGGAGGTTTCAGTCCATATTCTGTTGGCTCTAAGACAGGCTGGCATTGGCAGGGCTGTGTTTCATGGTGGCTGCAAACAGCAAGACAGAAAATGGCAAGAGAGGTACTGAGAGTGGGGTTATTTGCTGTGACTAAACCTGGCCATGTTTTTCATGAGGCTTTAGAAATGGCTTGTGGGCAGAGTTTGGAAAGGTTAGGACATGTCTCCTGGATGCATAGAGCTGGAGCAGCTTAGGCTGTTCTGTAGAGGAGATTCTGATCAGAGCTCAGGAGACCAGAAGGCTGATAAAAAGCCTCATGGTAAAGAACAGGCATGAGAGGCTTCTGCTGGGAAGGACTGGATTGGTTGTTGGACTCTCCACAATGTATGTTATGGCTTGGCAGAAAGTTGTCTGCATTTTGCTCATGCCCAGAAAAAGTATAACTAGGCATAAAGAAAGACTTTTCATGTTGAGAAGGGTCTTGATTAATCAATAGGTTATAGTAATTTTAGCTCTTTTTTTTCCCCTCCCTCTCTTTTTTATAACAAAATTTACACATTTTGGATTTTATTACTCCTTAGTTCTTATTACTTTTTGGGGGGGAGAGAATAAAGTCAAATATGGCAAAACAAAGCTGTAAGTCAAAACCAAGGATAGACATAGCACATGATGTAGAACAGAGTACAAGGTCATCAACAATGGTTATCAACATTGTCTCTTGTTTCCTTAAAAGGAATTGTCCATCTCATTAGATATTATAAAGCCGGACAAAACAGTGGAGAACAAGACCAATAAAACTTAGGCATTGTGAACATTACAGGACTTCCAAAGGAGACAATAGTCAAACCAGAATGGGCATCTTTGTGAATCTTATTGCCTTCAAATTAGTTGCCTATACCTTCAAACTTGCTACTATCGCACAGAATGGAACAGAGTCTAATCAGTCAAAACAACTATGTAGATTCTCAATACCAGGGCTTAATAATAAGTGACGCAAAAAACTGAAAAAAAGAGGAGAAATAAAATTTTTAAAACTTCACTATCACTCTATTAACAATTGATGAAGTTAGACCTAAAATATAATATAAGCCAGATTTCTATAACTGACATTTGTAGAATATTTTAACCTAACGTATCTCATTGTTCCATCTTCTCAAATGCACATGTAATATTTTATGGAGTTAGCCTATATTCCAAGCAATAAATATATATTTAATTTATTTAATACTTTAAATCACAAGTTACACAAATATTTCTCTATAAATGTACATTCTAGTCTTATCTGTAATAGTAAAAGCCTAGAACAACATGAATTTCCTACAACTAGAAACTAGAAAATACAAGCTAACCATTAGTATTACACAGAGATTAGTGATCAGTTGGGAAAATGAATAAGTAGAGGGAAAGGAAAGAGTGGTTTTCAGGGGGAAAAAACATTGGGAATTGGACACATGTTCTCTACCTTGGCTATATGAGTATGTACTAAATATGGGCAGCTTACTGAACTTCACTTGTACCTTAGTGGGCTCCAATTAAAATCTAAGATTTCAAATATAGTAAATGTATCAGTGACCCTTAAAAATAAAGATCCCTTAGAAATTTATTATCTAATGGATCACCTCACTTAATGACAGATAATATTGAAAAAGTCAGTCAGCTGACAAAAAGTACCTATCTTTTTGAACAAGTAGGACATGTATTAGTGTACTCCATCCACTTGAGGGGTTTCTGAAGCAAATATCTATCACACTAAACAAGGTATACTTTATCTTATAACAGGAACTAAAATATGAAGTGAATGTGATTTGCAGGTCAAAATCAACTTAGAAATCAATATTACAGAATATGCTTTCTCAGTATTTGTCATCAGATGAGGAATCACTTTTAAATTACTAAGCTTTAATGTGTACTGACTTTTATGAAATTTTCCTCCTTCCTGTTTTGAGATGGAAAATGGTTAATGCCTTAGTTGATACAAAGTACCTAATTCTCAAAGCTGGGAAAGGAAAGGTTTATTTCTTACAGTTTTTGGAGGTTTCAGTCCATACTAGGTTGGCTCCAAGGCAAGGTGGTATGGTGGGGCTGCAGTTCATGGCAGCTGCAAACTGCCAAGTGGAACCTGGCAAAAAAGTGAGACATGCCTTCTTCCTGCCATTACATCACATCCTGTTTCCACTCTTAGGCCAGTGTTGCACTCACACCCCCAATCCAAGCCCTAGACAATGAACCAATCACAAATGCACAATGCAAGCACATGAGACCTAAAGGGTCACTAACAAAAACCATGACATTCCACCCTTGGCCCCCAGGACACATGCAAATCTTTTATACAAAAGACATTGAGTCCACCTCCAAGAGCTGCCAAAGTCCTAACAGTTTCAGTGTCTCTGAAAAGTCCAAGTCTCCTCCAAGATCTATGGCAAACTCTTAACTGTAGCCCTCTGTACAAATGAAACAAGGTTAAACATTTCTGAAATGCAAAGGCACAAGATAAACATTACCATTCCAAAGGTTACAAACAGAGGGATATAAATCATTGGAAACAAAGCAAGTCCAACATCCAGCAGGGTGACCATTACGCTCTAGAGTTCCAGGATCAGCATTTGAAGCAATCTGGTTGTAAGCTCCAAAAGGCTTGGGTGATTACATCCCATGGTACTTTTAGGGATTTCAGCTCCTGCAGCTTCTCTCTTAAAGCATTTCTGTTCACTTTTTGCAGCTTTCCATGGATGATCCACGTTCTTGGCTTTTTAAAATTTCTGGTGTCTCCACTGAACCTTAGGCTTCACCTTTACATCTTTATAAATTGCCCACTCAGGGGCACACTGCTTGGCGTCTGCCTGGTGGAAGCTGTCTTACTCTCTGAATTTGTACATTTTCCTTGCACCTAAAATCAGCACCATGTGGATGCCACCAAGGTCTGCTGCCAGCTGGAGAAGCAGCCAGGCTTTTTCCTCTCTTAGCTGTAGGGGTCAGTTGCCTGGATCACTGGGCTCTGTTTACCTGATTGTGAGGAAAAGCTTTTCTATGTTGTCACCATTCTGGAATTTCATGTGGCCCCCATTGCCATTCTGGAGCATGGTGCTATGTAGCTTTCTTTTTTGTTAACATCATATGTATATATATATATATATATATATATATATATATATATATGTCTATCTTCTGTTTCATGAGTGTATGTTGGCAATAAATAATAGTTACATTCATTTAGAGGAATTTTCACATAGATATAGCATATCCTGGTCAATTTGACTTCTTGAATGCTGTTGATGCCCCCTCAATCCTGTTCCCTCTCCAACCAGTCTGGTTTTAATATACATTTTACATTATCATTATTATTCAAACACATTAAAACTACTTTTTACAGAAGTTATCTGTTCTTAGCAAACTTGAGTGTAGAGTTCCCATTTAATTCTTTCCACAAACATGCTCTAACTCCCTACCATCAACATCCCACATCTGAGTGGGACACTTGTACCAAAGATGAACTTACCTTGACATGTCATTGTTATACAAAATATAGAGTTGACACAAACTTCAATTCTGGTTTTATATACTCTATGGATTTGGACAAACTCAAATCAAATTTATCCACCATTATATTTTAACAAATAGCTTCACTACCCTAAGTAATTCTCTTTGCTCTGCCTAGTCAATGATCTCTCCAAACTATTGATTTTTCCACCAATGATCTTGTCTTTAATACATTTGAAATCATATGGAACATAGCCTTTTCAGTTTGGTATTTTGACTTACTAATTTGCATTTCCTATTCTCTGTGCAATTTAATATCTCAGTACTGTATCTTGCTTATTTTATGACTGAATAATATTTCTTGTTTGAATGTACCAGTTTATTCGTTCATGCACAGTGACATTTTGTTTGTTTCTACTTTATGGCAATTAACAAGAAGTCTATTGTAAACATCCAAATTCAAGTTTTTCTAGGGACCTATGTTTTCTGAATATTTGGACTTGAAAAAAGAAGCACAGTGGCCACAATGCATGAGAAGTTTAGTTTGTAATGAAATTTCTGCCTTCCAAAATGGTTGTATTATTTTGGATTCTCATTGCAAGCAGTAAGAGTTAGCCTTTAGTATGTCCATGATATCTGTGATGATTTGCATTTTTCATATCTAATTGCATTTATGTGAATCTTTTCTCTCTTTCTATTTGTAAGTTTGACTAGAGTATTAGTAACTACTTTGAAAAATCATACTCCAATGAATTGGAAAGCCTTCAAGAATTAAAAGATTCCCCAACTCATATAAAAATGGCCAAAAGGAACCCAAGAAGAGATGAAAATGTTGAACAATCTAATAATAAGCAATGAAATTGAAACAGTAATGATAAAACAACCAACTAAAAAAGTAGAGGACCTAATATATGCATTGCTGAGTTCCTCAAATCATTAAGGTTGTTATATCATCAATATTACTCAAATACTTCAAATAATTGAAAGAGTTGGAATACTTTCAAACTCATCTGTAGAAGCTAGCATCACTCTGATTCTAAAAGCAGATAAAGACTCAACTGAAAAAGAAAACTACAGGCCAAACTTCTTAACAAACATTAATACAAAAATCCTCAACCACATAGCATTGAATAGATGAGAACACATCATCACAAAAATCATACATCATTATCAAGAGGTTTCATCTCAGAACTACAAGGATGGTTCAAAACTTGCAGATCAATGTACATGATAATTTCATAAACAGAAACAATGATAAAAACACCAGGATCTTAGCAATAGATACAGAAAAATATTTTGACAAACTACAGAATCCCTTCATGATAAGTACTCTGAAGAAAATAGTATAGAAGGACTCTACATGAATTTTATAACATTATTTGTGACAAATCAACAGCTAACATCAGATTAAATGGAGAAAGCTGAAAACTTTCCCTACAATAGGCAAAACAATCAGCAAGGGAAGGAAATAAGAGGGGTACATATACAAAAGAAAGAATTCAAATTATCATTATTTGATAATGACATAAAGACGTAAAGATCACCAAAACTCAGAATTAATAAAGAACTTCAGTAATATAGCAGGAAATCAATATCAATATCAACATCAACCAAAATATCAATAACTTTTGTGTACAGCAATAATAAACTCAACAAGAAAAAATTATGAAAAACAGTATTTTCTCAAGTAGCAAGCAATTAAACAGTGCCTAGGAATTAACCTAAGCAAGGAAGAGAAGACCTGCACAAAGAAAACATCAGTACCCTGAAAAGGAGATTTAAGAGAGGATCAGAAAAATGGAAAGATGTTCCCTGCTCCTGGAGAGGAAGAACCAATATAGTCAAACTGATCCTATTTTCAAATCCTATACAGATTGAAAGCAGTCTCAAACAGAACACCAACAGTATCCTTCATAGATCTAGAGAAAAGAATCTTAAAATTCATATGGAACTGAAAGAGATCAGAATAGAAAAAGCAGTCTTTAGCAACAGGAGCAAAGCATGAGGTATTACAATACCAGACTTTAAGTTTCCCTATAAAGCAAGTGTTAAAAATATCATGATACTGACACAAAAAAAGACATACAGATCAACAGAACAGAATAGAAAATATAGAAACATCCTCAGAAACAATCAGTTATTTGATTTTTAAAAATTTTTGTTTAAAGAAAGACTAAATAAAACAGAAAAATGGTAGAAATAACACATACCTTCAAAGAAAAAATAAACAGTAAAAAATCACTAGTTAATGATTACATACTGTCCTCTTACCAATAGTTGTTCAAGCTACAAAAGTAAAGTACACAAAGTGGGGATTCAAACAGTGAGACTGCAAGCATTTCTGTTCAACTATCCAACAAAAACTTAGTAACATGACTATCAGTCCTATACACTTATACATGCAGTTATCCATACTTTCATCTATGTTAAGATTAAACAAATCAAAGCAAGCTAAAATCACTCTAAACAAAGAATAATAGTATTGCTGGATCATACAGGATCAGCACTGGGTACTGTAGTGTCTATTTTTCTTCAAAGTAGTTGTTCATTTCATCATGCATCAGTTCTCATAAACTGTTTATAGGTTCTATGCATGCAGGGCCTCAACATGTATTTCCATCCTTTCTATATTAAAGGGAGAAACAAATCAAATCAAGACAAAAACAAAACATGTTCCTGTAAACACATGAAATGAAGAAGTCATATAAAACCACTGTACAAGGTGTTCTATAATGGTTACTATGTTGTCTCATGTTATCTTCAATAGAAATGTCTATATCATCAGACATAGTATAATTGAATATAGAAGTACATAACAATATTAATAAAAACAAAACTTTTTAGATAGTGTAAAACTTCAAAAATACATAGTAATCAAACCAGAATGAGTATTGTAGTGAATATTGCCATCTTCAGTGTAATTGCCTATACTCTCAGAGTTGACACTCTTAATCATAACAGCTTTGAGTAAAATTTGTAGATACCAAACAGCAATGAAACAAACTAGATATAACTAAAATCAGTCATATTAAAACAGTATAAGTTATATAGGGTTCCAGAGTAAGTTAATAGGAAATTAAGGATGAGTACTGTACTATATCCTATTATTTTTGGGATACCTGTCTGTGCCCTCAGATCTAGTGCAAGCAGACAAACTGGGACAGAATATAATGTATCTAAGCAGAGTGGTGTGAGTAATCCTGATACACTATTAACAATATCCTATGCCTTCTTTCATAAGACTATTCCTCCATTTTCACTCCGCCAGGGCCACTGTACATTTTTGAGTCACACCAACTCTTTCCGTTTTTAGATTGGGGGGGAGGACATCTGCTATTTACCTAAGTGGTTCCAAACCTTCTCCCTTCTGGACTTGATCTCAAGTTGTATTCTTTTAACTACTAAAGCATGTCTTTTCAACCTATCTACAGGTGCTGGTCAAGTTGCCCTATTATTTTCTGGTTCCCTGTCACATAAAGCACTGTTTTCTCATATTTGACTTTTGGTCCATAAACCCTTTTTCAGGTTAATTATATTTACTATAAAGAGCATCTTGTTGGAGTCTGACTCCTGATCTACTCTGTCTGTGTTTTTCTTAGTATGTGTGTCAAGGCCATCTATTTTAGAGATTATAGCCAACCTTCTCTGCCTCATTTCAACCATTTCTGCCTCATTTTGCTCTTTTTCTGCCATTAATCATCTGCTTTTCTCTTTCATTCCACTTTGTGCTCCATTTATTGAAGCCTTTCTGCCACTGTTCCTAAAATCCTGATACTTTTTTCTCTCTCTAGAATGTCCTTCAGTATTCTCTGTAGGGTTTGATTGGTGGTCACAAATTACCCCAGTTCCTCTTTGTCTTGGAAGCATCTTGTTTGTCCATTAATTTCAAGAGACAGATTTCAGGGTACATCAATCTGGGCTGGAAGTTATTTTCTTTCATGGCTTGGAATACTTCACTCCAACTCTTCTTGATTTGATGGTCTATGCTGAGAAATCTGCTGATTTTGATGGGTTTTGCTTTATAGGTGATCTGTTCCTTTTCTCTGACAGCTTTTAATATTCTGTTCTTAGGTTGTATTTCTGAGATCTTGATTACTATATGTCTGGGTGTGGCTCTGTTTTGGGTGTAGGTGTCTGGAGTTCTGTATGCCTCATACATGTGAATATAATTTCCTTTTCCTATGCTTGGGAAATTTTCCTTAATTATTTCTGTGAATAGTCTTTGTAGTTTATTTGTTTGTACCCCCTGCTTCTTCATTCACATCCTTTATTCTTAAGTTATAGATCCTCTTGTCATCTTCTAGGTTTTGTATTGTTACTGCCTGCTTCCTTGTTATTTTTAGGAAATTTTTCCTTTTGTGATCACACATTGCAAACCTGTCCTCAAGTTTTGATAGTCTATCCTTAGTTTCTTTCAAGCAGTTTTACCTGCTTGCAATGCAGTTTTTTATTTCCAGGTAGTCTCTTTGAAT